CACAGGTTCTGGCGACCTTACCTGTGAATTTTCCATGGGTAGGAGTGACTGTGTCACCAGTTCTTTGGCTGCAATGTGAGGAGCTCTAAAACGCACAGTGACACCTGCTGCTGTGTCATGCTGTTTGGTTTGCCCTGCAGCTGAGGGTGCAGGGGTCCTCCACTCCTCCTCCCAGCACCCCCATCCCATCTAGTTCTTATTTGTTTGCAGAGGCTTAGTGCTGACCTTGTTTCAGTGTGAGCTCCAGTGTCTCTGCCAACAGGGAGAACAGGGGCTTTTCATTATAATTCAGCTAAAAAGCCTACTGGAATAAGGGATAAGATAGAACCAATCTTCAGATTATTTAAGTTTTGCTATTACTGCTGCTGTACATTCCCAACTTCATTTTCTTCCTCACTTAGCCAATAAAAATAAAGGTAATGATATTCCCACCAAAACCAAGGGAGTGGAGACAGTAAATAGCCCTGGAAACACTTTTGAACACTTATCTATATTCTCCAGGGTGGAATGTAAATGCAACTTTTATGTTACCTTCCTTTGACTTTCTGCATAATGTCATTATACATTAGTCTAGTTAGCATAAAGATTAGCAGCGTATTAAAGAAATAATCCAGTCCCAAGGGCACAATAGTAAAATAAGTAGCTTAAAATTTTGTTAATAGTCACATCAGGCTTACAAAACAACTTCCTCCCACTCCCCACTGTTTTCTAGATACCCCCAACAGGTCCATGTCCTCTGAATTAGCCATCCTCAGCTCACTCCTGGGCTCAGGAGTCTCCCTTTCACCTGTCTTTATACGGGCTGTGTGTGAGCCCTGCCAGCCTTCAATCGACAAGTGATCTACCCCAACCAGAAGCAAGAAACTCCAATTGCCATAATCCATTCCACACGTGTCCCCACGCACCCACGCCTTTGTTCTTTTATATGTCCCTCAGCCAGGAGTGCATCAGTGCCTAGGACTAATGCTACACTACATCATGCCTCTGTTCTTCCCTTACCCCTGGAGACCTGTTTGACAGACTGGAGTTGCTACAGATCATCACCCAGAGCTTGATGTAGCCACTGCCATGACCAGCAAGACTTGAATAAATCTTTTGAAATGAGGAAAATGTGTGCCAGATGGGAATCCTGACAGTATTGCTGGAGCAGCACTCTCCAGATGAGAGCACTATGAGGAACATGTCCCATTGGCACAGGTCTGTTTATCTCTGCCTGGGCCAGCTGGTCCTGCCTGGAGCTCTTCAGCCGTATTTCCCACTTGCTTTTCCCTGATGTGGTATTCAACGTGCTGGATTTAAAATTGATCGGTCAGCACCACAGAGAGCGAGCTCACCTCATTCTGCCCCAGTTTCAGACGACTTTGTCAACCTCAGAGCAGAGTTTCTGCACAGCTGGGCTTCTCAGTTTTACACATTGTGTGCATCTCTGAGCTTCAGCACAGCACCTGCTTAGCACGTCCTCACACGAGGGGCAGATGGTGCCATTTGCCACTGTTAACTCCTGCACTCTGGATTCCTGCACACTGAGTACAGCCAGCAGGTTTCTCATAATCATCTGGGATATCTGGAGAGAGAAAAACTTCATCCTGGTAACAGTGGCAAAGGCCAAGGGTCGCTTTCAACATGACAGGTAAGAGCCACTTCAGCCATTCATCAGCCAAAGGTCACCTGCTGACTGACAGCACAGGAAACACCATCAGTGTTCTTGTACCTGCATAGCCATGTGCCCCCAGTGCTGCAGCTGAAAGGGTGACACAGCTTTTGGAGCCGAAGCTTAGGCAGAAATCATCTTAGTGGTCACAGCTTAAGCTCCACATTTCAGCAAGGCTTGGCTCTTCTCTGAATTGATGCAAGCTAAAAACGTTCAATACCACCACCTCAGCAAGTTCAGCAATATCCTTAGCCACACTGCTAACTCACACTACAAAATGCTCTGTCCAGGTTTGTGCTGCCCTCAGCAGCTAGAGCTCTGATTTGGCAGAAAAAAATTGGTGAGCTGCACTAACAAATACTGTGGTCGTCAGTCAGCGTTATTTTAGACTACATCTCAAATTCCCCCATTACCTCCCCTTCCTCTATAGAGGGATTTCTGACCTGAAAGTATTCTTTTCACACAGGTCCTGCCATAACATCCCACCTCAAAGGAGGCAGCAGCGACTGCTCTGCAGCAGCAGCTGTCAGTTGGCAGCAGAACCTGTCTAGGGACTAACTCAACTCAGAAAGAGGAACACTCCTCTCCCTGGCTGCCTGCCAGCCAGGTAACCCAGCTGTTCCTTTGGGACAGCTGTCAAAACAGGAGCCTGCCCAAGCCCTCCCTCCCCATCAGAACTGGTGGCATTACAGCCACCGTTAATAGGCTTTGATTTCCTGGGCACACGTTGCCACCTCACCAGACATTGCTCTGCTTGCATCATGGAAGTAACTCAAGAAGGGATTTACTGGGATCTACACAGGCTCTTTCTCAAGGCTTCGCTGCCAGTCTGAGCTACACTCATGCGGTGCCAAGGAAACACTTAAAAATCAGAGAGTTTTTAAATTCTATAAAGTTTTAACGTGTAGAAAGAAGACGATGCAGAGAAGCACTTTGCAGTTCAGTCTGCAACAGGAGATAAGGATGGCCAGGCTAATCAGGGTTGTCCTATGACAACCATAAGTCCCTATCAAAGGCAACCAGAATCCAAGAGAAAACATTTTTTTAAATCTTGTCATAGTCACTATATGTAAGCCAATCACTAGAAAAGTAGTCCTCGAAACCTCATGGCTTTTGCCAAAGATTGCCCTTCCCAAAAACTCCTGTTCTCATCTTTTCATGTTGCCAAATCTCTGAAGAAAGGGACAGGGTGGGAAATTTGCTTGTTATAGAAGCAGAGACCTAATATCAACCTTGCCCTGCGTTAAAAGGCTCTCTCCCCCTCACCCAGCCATAAACCCACACCCAGTCATCAGGAATCCCTTGGGAATTGAGAAGGATCCTGCTGCTGGCAGTACAGCAGAAGTGGTGCAAAGTGCAGGAAATCTTGGCATATTGCAGCCCAAACTGCACAACTCTGCCTTGGTGCCTCACATGGAACCTGATCTCAGAGACTTGTAGCAGTTATTCCTGCTAATGGCAGAATTCTGATTCTTGACAGGATCTTGACTTTCTCAAGCTTTATTCTGCCAGGTAGTGACGTATCACAGAAAGAAGCATTTGCTTTATCACACACAAGCTCTCCTGCCTTTCACTGACTGCCAATTCTTCCCCTGTTCACTTGCCTGTCCACCTCCCTTGCCATTGATTAAGCAATCAGGACATCTGACCTGCACTCCCTGTGTGCTTTCCTTATTTCATATCCAAGCTCCCTTGTTAGAGTGCTACTGGACAATCAACAACAAGGCTGAATCTACAAGATGAGAGAAAGAAGCCTGTCAGATAATAGGGAAATAATAATAAAAAAGCTCGGAGATGCTCTGTGTGCTTCTAATACATGAAGCTAATGCATGAAAAGATGCAATCTCAGGGAACACAGAGAGAAAAATCCTGTGCAAGAGGAGCTCACAGTGGCACTGCCAGACTGGTTTTACCAAGGACATCTCTCTTTAAAGACAAGACACAGGAGGTACAGGAGAAGGAGTGAAGGTATAGTAGAGCATGCAAACAAACAGAAAAATCTTGAAGGGAACAGACCCTGTTTTGTCTTCAGCAAAGGCAGAACCATGAATCTGGCTGAAAATCAAGTGCCAGACACCTGTGCCAAGCAGTGACAACTCACACACTCTGTCCTTCGAGCAGCTCAGCTGGCAGGGCAGACAGGTGAGGCAACTCTACTGTTTCAGGCAGCCCAGTTCCCCATAAATCCTCACCCCGAGCCGGAAGAGCCTTCACTCATTCCCACGGCAGAGAATCCCCTTTTCCCCACGTCCCCGCCCGACACTCACTGGAAAGCCATGGCTCCCGCCTCCAAGGTGCATCTCGTCGGGGACTGCTCGTTCAGCTTGCGGAAGAGCTGCTTCGCTTGGCTCTGGTACTGCTGTAGGTCGCGGCCTGACTGAGGAGGGAGAGGAGGAGGGACGGGCTGTTGGGGCGGTCAAGACCGGAGAGACACCGCGGGGGGACTGCGGGGGCTCCGCCCGACAGCACCGCGGCGGCTCTCCCTCTCCTCCTCCTCCCAACCACTACCACCACCACCACCACCACCACCACCACCACCCCGCCGCCGCCGCCGCCGCCACCACCAGCACCGCCGGGAAACGCTTGTGCCGGAGCCGCCCCACTGCGAGAAGGGGCCGCGCCGGTCCCGCCGGGCCGCGCCCCTCGCCCGTTCCCCACCGACACGCCGGCCCCGCTCCACCCGCGCCTCGCCGGCCGCACCTGCTCGTCCTCCTGCATGGAGGCGGCCAGGGGGAGCCCGTCCGCCACGCGGGCGATCATCGTGAGCAGCACCATGGCCGCGCCCGCCGCCCGCCCTGCCACGGAGCCGCCGGAAACCGACACCGCCACTTCCGGCCTGCTCCAGCGGCCGACCCTCCACTTCCGCCCAGTCGGGGGGCGGAGCCACGGCTACAGTGATGGACACGCCCCCTCCGTGTGGCCACACCCTAAAAAGCAGTGACCGCGCCCCATAATCACAGGCACGGCCCCATCGGCGCGGACACGCCCTCTTCTCATTGGCCACGCCCCTGAGCGCTGGCCACGCCTCATCACAATAGACACGCCCTCTCCGCGCTGGCCACGCCCCCTCACCATAGACACGCCTCCTTAGGTCTGGCCACGCCCCGCACCCCTGACGCCCCTCCCCGCCCAGGAGAACCGCCTATATACAAGTCGCGCCCATCCCCTGTAGCCCCGCCTCAAGCCCCGCCTCCTTTGC